GGCCCCGGGGACACGGCTATGGGGGGGGGGCCGCACGCCCCTTGGCGCCTGGCAGGCGAATGGCCACGCCCCCTAGCGCCCGGCAGCCTCTAAAGGTTGGGGACCACTGTACTAGACTGTTGTTTTTTTAAGTTTTTCCTGTTACAGACTAACTCGGCTACCCCTCTGAAACAGTATACAATGTCATTCAATATACAATACAAGACAATGTCATACAATATACAAGACCATATAAAAAGGTTATTTTTAATTTTGAGACAGAGAAAATGAAATCAAATCTTTCACTCATTTAGCCTTGGTGGGATTTTATTCCCTTAGAGTTGGAAGTGTTTTGGCCACATTGGGTTGGGCTGATTTCAACTCTGGTTCCCCAAAGGTAAGAGGGTAATAAACCATATTAATGAGTTCATCCCCCTCAATGCTGTATATAACTTGTTTTTTGAACTAGTACCTTCCTGGCTTCATGAGTAATGCTCAGATACGTTGGTCCCTGGATACGTGGTTGGGGTGAGATCAGAAAGTATTTACCACCAGATTTGAAGAAGCAGAGTGCTTTGAAGCTTCTCTGAACTCGTCTCCTGTGTTTCAGATTTCATCTGTCACTAAAATCCCCCCTCTCTCTCTCTGACGGCACCCACATTCCCTTAACTCGAGTGGGAGTCCGGAAACCGTTCAAACATCCCTGCTGGCAGGTTGTGCACTTCAGCAGGCTCTCAGTGCAGAGTTGCAGCCTGTAGAAGTGTTCTGACCCACCTGCTGGTGGGTGGCTTGTGTGTTGTCACTGAGTACACATGTATCTGCTAAGGGAGAAGAGACGGTGAAAGCAATAGGCATTTCTTCCTGCTGGCGGTGTTCTGTTTCAAACGATCTTGTATTAGGACCAAGGCAAAGCTGTAACAACTGCTCTTTTTCCTCCCTCATTCCCTCCAGGGGCTTCTGCTATTTTAATTCCGTGGCAATTGCAGCCAAGCTTCTCCAGCAGAGACTCAGCGTTAGCAAAATCCTTATAGTGGACTGGGTGAGTGAACGTTGATCCTCACCAAAGTAACAATGGAGGCTCTGCCGGAGCCCTTGTATATCGCCCAGTGAGCCAGCTCAGGCCACAGAAGCTCAAAACGGAAATTCACATTAAAACTGCTTACATTCAATAAACATTTCTTTAGGGGCCACATCAGGATTTCATGTCACAGCACTAAACTACCATAGTTTTTCCATTCTCCCCACTGTGATCCCAAAGACAGTCCGCCAAAACGAAGCCAGTAACAGAGATCAGATCCAAATTTCAAGAGGGGTGGCTGTGTCAAGTACTGGTTAAGATTACTGGGCAGGAGCATTATGTCCATCTCACTTTGTTCTTGGGAGCTGGAAGAATATACACTTATTTTAAAAAAAAAGCTGAGGATAGTTTTCTACTTCAGGTCCATCACTTTCCCCAGAGTCCCTTTTACTCCTCTGCTCAGTGACTACTTTTTGTAGCAGAAATTAAAGGGCCGTTTGGAAGAATGTCCCCCCTCGTAAGTTGTATTAGCCCCTTGGTTCCAGAGTGATAGAGGAATTGGCATGTTTGGGTGCGATCATCATGTTTTGTTTTCTTTCCACTGCTGTTAGATTGTACTCCTAGGCCTCATTCCTGCACAGAGCTTAAGCAGGTGCTTGGCCTGCAGACAGACTGCCTGGTCAGACTTAGGGTGATTCACATAGCTCCTCCCGGGACTGTCCAAGAAAATATCCTGTTTTCTTTCAGGGGTATAATTGAGGTTAATTTTTGGAAAATCTCTATCTTCCCCAGTTCTATAGAATTGAAAGGACACTGGAATCTTGGTTTTACAAACCACCTGTTCTAGTCAAACCCCATGTCTTGTTGGGGGGTGAGGAAACTTCTCGTAACCAAAGCAGTGTGGATGAAAACTAATTTGACATCCTTTCCCATTGCGATACTGCCCATACGTTGGGGATAAGCTGTGGCTTTGCCATATTGATTGTATGAACTCCTCAATTTCACAAACTCCTCCATCCCCAGCGAAGTAAGGGTTCTACTGTATAGCAGCGAGCTAATTGCCTATGGTGCGGATCATTCTAGTGTTTGAAAACTGCTACGCTCCGGCTAAAACCCCCAGCCTGATGATTTTCATCTGGACGTAAACTGCTATGCTCGGGTTAAAACCCCCAGCCTGATGATTTTCATCTGGACTGTTACTAGCACACTAATCCCTCTTCTCTGCTATGATCTCTGTCCCCGAAGGACGTGCACCATGGGAATGGAACTCAGCAGGCTTTCTACAGTGACCCAAACGTTCTGTACATTTCTCTACATCGCTACGATGATGGAAACTTCTTTCCAGGCAGTGGTGCTCCTGATGAGGTGAGGACATGAACCGATGGGGTCGGCCCTCTCTGTAACTCCGGTGACAGTCATCCAGGAATTTTATTGGCAATCTGCTGCTGGTCAGGAGTGAGATGCATTAATAGAACTGGAGGGAGGGGAAGTGACAGGGCTATTACTGCCCCTGCCCATGTGTATCCCTGTTAATGTTTCTCTTAGAACCCAGTGCCCATGTCTGTGCCTTCCCAAGGTCTTAGTGCCATGAAACTTAGGAAAAGAGGTGCCTTGGTTAGACTAGCTTAGTGAAAGAAACAAGATCAACGTGATGAGTCTCTGATGAGTCATTATGGGGCGGTTGTTCAAATAGAGCCCTTTGCTTAACAGACGATGGTCAGCTGTCCCAGACTGCGTATCTCTTCATTGGATAACAACTTTAGGGGCATTTCCTACCTTCTAACAGTCTGTTTTCCAACTGACTAAGAGGGGGTTCCTCATGTTAGCATTACTGCATGGCTTCCATCTTGCTCTCCTGACCGTGCCCTGTCTTTGCTCAGAGGAGCGAGTGCTGCATTTACACCTTGTTTTTCCAGCATTCAGAAGCTTGGAGATTGGATTTTTAGCAACAGATTCATTAGAGTTGTTGGACAGTGTCCAACACACATTCTTAGAATCCCATAAATCTGTTATAGACCAGATAGATGAATTAGAATGGACAGGAAGTGTAAAAATCTGTACAGAAACTTTTAAAAACATCATCTTAAAAATGTGGAAATGGGCCCTGTCTCTGGAAGCAGAGATAGCAATATGCTCTAAGTGATCCAATACAGATCCCTTCAAGGTTGGGATTTTTCTATTAGGACTTCCACCAGACGGACGGATGCGCGCGCACACGCACACACACACTGTGTCTAAACTACGTCCCTTTTCTCAAAAAAGGGATGTAAATTAGACACTTCAAAATTGCAAATGAAGCCAGGATTTAAATTTCTCGCACTTCATTTGCATAATTGCAGCCGCGGGTTTTTTCGAACCAGGGCTTTTCAAAAGAAAAACGGCTGTTTAGATGGGGATTGAGCGAAAATAAAACTCTTTTTTGAAAGATCCACCCCACAACCTCACTGTTAGCTGACTTCGTTACATAAGACTGGATGTTTGACCTACCATGGGGGACTAGCAAACATTTTCTGTTATTAACTCAGACAGTTACTTCAATTTGCTTGTAGCTTATTTATCTCTACTGCCGAATACATTTTACACAGAACTGTAAATGTGTTCGGTTTAGGCAGCTGTAAATGGAAGGAAAAGAAAATGAAAAATCAGAATGAACCAAACTTTGACAGTAATTTGAAGAAAAATGTGGCCCCTCCTTTCTACATCACATCTACAGTCAAGTGCTGGTATACTGTTGCTACCTAAATACAGCTAGCCTAGAGAGTCAATTTAGATGTACAGGCAGTCCCTGACTTATGTCGGATCCGCAGTTACGAACGGGGCTTTTCTCACCCCAGAGGACTGGAGCGGCGGGACGCCCAGATGCGCTGCAGTCCCGCCGCCCCCGTCCTCCGGGGCGAGAAAAGCTGCTCCACGTCTCCCTGGTCTGCTGGGGGGGGAGCAGACCAGGGAGACGCGGAGCAAAGCCTTGGAGCACGCCCGCAGCGGGACAGCCCATAAGCTCACTGAAATCAATAGAAATTCACACATTGTCTTTAATGAGCTTTGGATCAGATTCTGGCTGCAGTATCCATAGATGAAAATCTTACGCTGTTGAAGTCAACAGCAAATCTCACATTGACTTCCCCCCCCAGCAGACCAGGGAGACGTGGAGCAGCATTTCTCGCCCCGGAGGACGGGGGCGGCGGGACTGCAGCGCATCTGGGCGTCCCGCCGCTCCAGTCCTCCGGGGTGAGAAAAGCCCCGTTCGTAACTGCGGATCCGACGTAAGTCAGATCCGCGTAACTCGGGGACTGCCTGTACATCTAAATTGACTCTCTAGGCTAGCTGTATTTAGGTAGCAACAGTGTACCAGCACTTGACTGTAGATGTGATGTAGAAAGGAGGGGCCACATTTTTCTTCAAATTACCGTAAATGTTTGCTTTTCCACTGTCACCTTTCACCAAAGTACCTACTCACTGTGGTTCGGGTCGGTTGTGTGTTGCAAGTCCTATTTTCACCAGTAGAGGGGGCTCTCACTCTGAGCAAACAGCCCTTGTGGCTCCTTGAAGAGAATTCACACACTAAAGCAGGGTTGGAAAGCACTGCTCTGAATCTAGTGAGGAAGCTGAAGATGAATTGTAGAAAGCTGTTCTGTGGATAGGGCCATCGAGCCATTTGAGAATGGAGAAGACCCTGGGATATTAATGCTGGGACTCCATGTATCGCTAACACAGTTGTTGGGCCCTGGGCCATCACTGGTCAGGTGTTTGCGTGGGCACCACTTTCAAAGAGAGAATTGCCTGAATGTAACGCGCTCTGTTTGTCCGCTGCTTCCTCCCTGTCTCAGGTCGGCACCGGCGCAGGCGTTGGTTTCAATGTCAACATGGCCTTTACTGGTGGCCTCGACCCGGCCGATGGGAGATGCCGAATATCTGACTGCTTTCAGGTAATGCACAGGCCACCTGGCTGAAATCGCTCTCCTGCTGCTGTTGTGAGGAAGCTGGAAGTAGCATTGCGTTTGCCTGAGCGCTCTGTGACTGAAGCCAGTGCCAGGAAAGCAGAGGGGAGTGCCCGGGCACAGCAATAGAGCTGCGTGGGCAGGCTGCCAAATGACGCTCCCATGTGTGCTGCCCAGCCAAAGCTCTGCTGGGTTGGTACAAAACGACAGTGCCTGTTAACAAGCACGCTCTTCTGTGCACGCACTCGCGCTCTCCCCTCTTGTGAGCATGGCGCTGCGGGGGGAGGTGGACCCACAAGGACATGTTGGCCAGTCGCTCCAGGTGGAAGTTGTGTTGCAGTTTCCCAAGGCGTGAGTTCCCATTGCTGAGACAGTCACGTTTTGCGGGGTTATTGCTGCACAGTCTGTTCTGTCGCAGCCCTTTCTCTGGGCACAGGGGAACTGATCATGCAAATCCAACTGACTCTGCAACACTCCCACCCTTACCTCCCCCAGAGCTGGAGTGCGCAGGGTGCAGCGAGGAATAAGCCAGGCAGCACGGGAGTGGGGGAACAGAAGCACATCCCAGGGGTCGCCATTTTAGGGGGAGTATCCTGTTGCAGAGCACTGAGAATTAGCCAGCTGCTCTCTTACTGATATTTTGCTTTGCCTGATGCTTCTGAAGTCCAGGCTCTTCCCTGGGACAATTGCATGGGAATTCTAGAGCAGACTCTTCTTTTCCGTTCCCATCAGTCCCATCTTCACCCGTGACAGCAGAGCGCGAAACCAGAGACGTCTCTGTATTTGTGGGTCAAAGCCTGGGCCGCCCATGGAAATGTCTTTTGTAGCGCTCTGCATGCTATACTGTGGTCGGTCTTGCTGATGCTCGTTAACAGTAGCATCAGACAGGCAGGCAGATTGTGGTTGCAGAATATTGTCCCTAGCTCAGGGTGTGAGATTTTACAAATAAGTTTCTCTCCAGTGTCTTGGGTTTCCGTGTAACTTTGAGAAGCAGTTCTTATGTAGAAACATCCTCTTCCGTTCACGTTCCCTCTTGAACATGGGTGATTGTCTGGATCATTCATTTTGCTCCACTCTGGCAGCCTATAAAAGGATTAAGACAGAGCCAGGCTGTGTTGCATGGTACAGAATGACTTGTCAGAGTCTTGACTTTCTCATATTGTGGGAGGGGATGCACAGAATGCTGGTGCTTTTCGCTTGAATGGAGTTGTCCAGTATCACCTTTCTGGGACTCTACTGAAGATTTACAACAGAGCTTTGTGGAACTGCAAGAGGGAAGCTAGGATAGGGCGCCACTGTCTCGCTGATGCTTTAGAGCTTAATGGAAGTCTGTCATAGTGCCCTTTACCCTTGTGAATGTGGGCAGCAGAGAAGGAAAACGTAAATTTCCTCATTTTGCCCTTACAACCAACTTTGACTAAAGTGTCACACATACTGGTGCATAGAGATGCGTGTGTGAGACTTGTTCCTTTCTCTGTATTCGTACAAGTTTCTTTCCATGTGAAAGTATGTATTAGTTAGTCATCTGATGTATTTGTAGGCTTCATCTTTCCCAGAGATCATGCTCTCGTCCCCAATTTGCATCTTTTTCAACAGTTAGCAGATGACGTGGTTTTCTGACTTCGAGTTGGGCTGAGTGGACTTCTGGCAAATGCTTTGCATAATTTAGGGGGATGTAAATATGCCAAGTGGTGGATGCAAAATGTCTGTAGGTTTTTGAACACACAGGTGGAATATCAAATCCGTGGGTCCCATGGCATCTTTTCAGTCTAGTGGAACCAGCGATTGATGCTGGCACTTAATGAGCAGAGAGCAGTTATTCAGCATACGCTCACCAAATGTGGTCTCGGCCATCTTTTGGAGAGTGCTGTTGCAAGGAAAATTCCTTGCCTGACCAGTCTTATCTATAGTAACGCCCGCCACATAGACACATGCACACACCTTCAGCATATCCATTACGTCGGAAGCCTTTTTAATCTCACGCCAAGTTTGTTCATGATGATACATTATCAAATGACCTTTTTAAATCTTAGCCAGCTTTCTTTGAAAAACATTTTCCTGAATTTTTTTTATTTATTTTAATGTAAAATAAGGCTTTGAAGTTTAAAATGTATAGTCCCTCGAGAGTTAGAAAAGAGAAGGGAATGGGTCATATATCCTTTTTTTTGTGAGCCCCGTGAGACAATACATGCCTTGAAGGCAGCACCTTGTTATTCCGACCCATCGAATGCCACGTTGCATTTGCAGGGGATCAAACCTAAGATGAAAAAAAAGATAAGAAAATTGGCCCTAATGAAATCCAGAAGCAGCAGGCACTTTCACCATGAACTTGGAAACTCACGGCAGAGAACTGAATTTTAATTCAAACCAGTCCAAATGCCAAACGGTGAGGCTTTGAAGTCTGTAGAGGAATGAGTGGAAATCCTTTGAGCTGAGCAGAGATACCGAGTTAATTTTCTTACATTAACTCCTAATATTCTTGCCTACATGGTATTTGGAATAGGAAGGTACCTTTCTGTGTAAAAATATGAGGAAGAAAAATGTGCAGCGCTGAATGGGATTTTAAAGGTTATGACTGATGTGCGAGTTTGATTAAAAACAAGCGTTTGAATGAAGTTAGTAATTGGGATAGTTGGCATCATAAAGTAATCTCCTTGTGATGAAACAAATGATGACAATTACATTCCTAGTTTTCTTCAGGTTCAAAATCCATTTCAAATAGTACTGTTTCCCTAGTTCCACGGGGAAATGAATAATTTAGGGTTAGGATTTTTCTGTTAATCATTCTAATAACCTTAAAATAAACTTTTAGCTAAAACATGTTTGTTTGTCTTAGACAGAAGAGCCAAGATATTTGAATACCTTGGGAAGTAGAGATGGTTAGGAATTGTTTGAGTTGTGTCCTGAGCTCTGCCATTTGTACTATCCATAAGTGGAGGCTGAAATCATAAACTGCTCACAATGAGTAGATTACACGTTGCTTGGAAACGTTGAAAGAGATCACGTCACCCACCAATGGACAGTTCATGGGACAAAACAGATTTGGTATTTCAGAGTGTTTGGCAATGTTACGTGATAGTGTAACAATGGCCATACTTACTTTCAACAGCAGAACATTGTAATTTAGCTCACTATTTACTGCACTAACTTTCCACGGTTGAAATCACCGCCAAAGTATTTGTCCAATACAGATTTCACCAGTTATGAGGAAGTGTATTAAAATGCTAACATATAAAATATGTGGCATGTCATGAAAAGAATTCCTGAAAATATTAAAATGTTATTGGGTGCTACAGTTGTTATATAAGTTATAGAAACAAACTTTAGTAAAATTCATTCTGTAGTTTTACTAGTGTTTGTTTCCTAAGTTGTTTTATAAGAGGAAATAGTGTTCCTATTCCTTAAATTCTCATAACATTTTAAAAGGTTACGTTTAATTACAGTACACAAAGCTGGCTAGGAAAATCTTAGTCAAAATGTGCAGACTGTTCATGTCCTTTTCACAGCTGTAGAACAATTACTATTTTCTAGCACATACTATTGTTGTAATTCACTGTCAGAACGTATCCACAGTGGAGTGCTAGCAGTTGTCTTGTCTTTGGTTTACTTCGGCGATGTGACTCAATAAACTATGCATCATTTTAGTTTAATGTTGTTCACCTTTTCATTGAAATTGTAAGTCAAATGAGCATTGTTGGTTGGAAGATTCACCTTGTTCTTGATTTTGTGAAGACCCATCTACATACTATAGAAAACCTTTTTTATCCTCTGTTTGTGCATAACATCTATATTAGATATATGCACAGCTGTGCTTTGAGGGTTTGGTTTGGTTTTGCATTAAGCTCCCTTCCCCTCCCATGGAAATGTCTCATTTTAGGGCTTGTGTGCTCTGCCTACTTTTTTCTTACCTAAATTCCTAAATCTGTTTGGCACAATCAATTACTGCAGAGATGATTACTGCTACAATGGGAGGCTGGATTTTCAAGGAGAGATTACCAGCAGGAGTAGATGATGATTAACAGCATAACTGCATCTTATTTGTGATTGGTTTAAGGTTAATTGAAGAGGTTTGAGAAAACTGTTGCTTAAAAGTTTAATTAGTGCTTGGAAATTAGGTAAAATCATAACGTGGGAAAAACCGGGTCCTAAGCATTCTGTGTTGTAAACCCTTTGGTTCTTCTGTCCATCCCAGTGACCATCATGCCCATGGGCTGAAAGCCCCAGCTCCACATCAGACTGCTGGTTTTATTCCTTATCTTTCGGTGTATGGTCCTGCAGCCTTTGCCAAATGCGCCCGTCTTTGCTCCAGCATTTTCCTTTGGAGCCACATGCTTGTCTTAGTTAAAAGGGAATCTTCTCCCGTGGATTTAATATTCCAGAAAGAGCAGGTGTGGTAGGTGCGTCCGGCACTGTCGCCCACAATGAAAGCATTGAAAATGCAGCTCAGTGGCTCTGTGGCTTTTGGTCCAACTTTAAGAAGGTTCACACGAGGAACTCTGGTGTTACAGGATACTTCTTCAGGAGCATTGTAAGAAGAGGAGCTTAGTGAGCAATGGAGGTGCTGGGGGTGAGCCTTGCCGGAGGGGTAAATGGACTGACTGTTTCTGAAAAACAGCAGAGTAGATGCTGCGCCTTGGGCTCTGTGCCACAAAAGCTGCAGCATCCATGTTGGGGGTGTAAAGGGTTAACTGGTTACCTGGTAAGCATTGAACTAGTGACTAGGCTGTGCTGGAGCAGTTCCCTGCCCATGGTGCAGAATGGGGGGCCCAGCCAGAGCAGCTGTCCACGGTGGGCCCAAGCAACCTCTGCCCATGGCACAGCAGGCCTGACCAGGCTGGAGCAGCCCCCTGCTCACGGAATCCTGGTTAACCGGTTACGCTTACCATCTAACCGGTTAACTTTTTAAACTAGATTTTACATCCCCAGCCACACTGCTGTTCTTTAGCTCTCCAGCTCAGGTCCCGTTAACAGGACGCTCTCCTAGCTGTCATGTTCACAGACCCATAGAGTACACTGCTTACAATCCCGACTCCTGGGCCTGGAGCCATAGGCCCCAGTCCTGCAGCCAGACCCATGTGGATGGCTGCCTGTGTCCTTGCTGAGACAGCGGGACTCTGCCTAGGCGCCAGTGTACACCTGCTCACAACCAGCGTACGCATCCGGGCAGTATGTTTGTCATGCCAAATGTTTGGGTCAGAGATTGTCACCCTAATACGTGTCTCCAGCAGGTAGCACAGTGGGACCCAGGCCTTGGGCACTGCTGCAGTGAAGGGAGGAAGAAGTGTAAAAGCAGCAGCTGACCTAGGACTTGTGCTAGAGTTCTGTGCCTGAGGCATGAATCAAGGAAAGGATTGGGCTCTGGATTCCCATGCACTGCAATCTCATGCACTGTGTTCAGTGGAATTTTGACCATGGTTTGGGGCTTTTTCCATGAGAATTCAGTTGCATCTGAGTGGCACATCTGTCCCCTCTGAATTTTGGATTAGCCTAGAACCAAAACTGAAGGATGAGGAGGGAGGATTTGCCTCCCAACTTTGCCCTCCAATTTGACAAGTCATTCAGACCCATTGTTGTGTTTCTGGCCCAATTCTAAGTACAATGGCTGCCCTGACCAGGTCTGCAGCTCAGATTTCTCAGGCTTTGAGGACTAGTCGTCATCTGGAATGGAATTCCAAATATTGAGCTTCGCTAATTACATTTTGAAACTGTTACGTGTATGCCATGGGTGCCATTAAAACTGTTTGACACCCACAATAATATGAAAACAACAAGGAGCAGAGGTAACTCCTTTTCTAAATCCAGGGGGGAACGGGGGATCCCAGATACCTGTGCGTGACCGCTATTGACAAATGTTGACTGGTTAATGGTAACCATGGTGCTGCCTCATTTCGATGTGCCCAAGTAAGTTCCATGTTCTTAATTTTCAGCAAAAACTTGGTACTCCATATGGGAGGATGTATTTCTCATGCCACTAGAGGGTATCTTAACTTCAGTCAGGCCTGCATGCGATTGCTAAATGCCACTGCTGATGTGAGAGAAATGTGTGCGTTGCTCACCTGAAATTGGCTGGCCTCTCATATTACTCCAGTAGGCTAACATTTGGAAATCACCAGAGTGGAGTAATGAAAGAATTGTCGATCTGTCCAGTGATTGACAACTGTTTGTGTTGGCATGTTCAAACCTGTAATATTACACAACTCAGAGCTGATTTTGCTTTTCACTTTGATTGCAGATGGGGTGATACCACATGGCAGGAACAGATACTACCAAGGCTCACAATATCCTAACCTAGTTCTGAAAAAATCTGATGAGTTTAGCAGTTTTCCTCTGGCTAGAAACGAAATAGCTCAGCAGTACTTCAAAGCATAGAAAAAAAGTTTGCCACGTGCACTTGCTTCGAAACTGCTGCTTAAGTTCTTTGTGAAGGAGGTGGTTTTTACTTAGAATGTCTGTGGGTTTCAGTAAAATGATTTTGTTGGCTTTAAAGTCATAAGCAAAAAGTCCTTTGTCTTTATTAAATAACGACGTGTCTGGAGGAAAAGTTGGTATGGCTATAAATTCATCAGAAAAAAAACTTAAATTTGGTCTTTCTGGAGTTACACCACCATCCGTTAAAAACCTCTGCAATACAGCAAACAGCACTATTGCTCAAATTAGGCCACTGACCAACAACCACTACAAAACGCGGTTGTATTTTTTCTAACAGACTAAGGAAAGTGAAGTAGCTCCTTCTGTAGGTCTTTAAGACCATGTTGATGGGTCCTTGGATTACCAGGGCAATCATATGTGGAAAAAATAGATCCAAAGGACTTGTCAGCCCCCACACTACTCAGTTTTAATCCTTCTCAGTTCTCAGACTTCATCTTTCCCGGTGCAAGAAGGCCACGTGCTTGGCTTTAGAGACCTAATCCCAGCTCTAGCTGGTGCACATTGAGATTCTCTTTGGCACGGGCGACACTATTTGAAAACCTGAGAAAATTAAACACTGCTTGATGTGCATTCATTGTGCTAGCTTGCCCTATATCCTGCTAACACAATAACGCTTTCAAAGTTTTTGGTGCTACCCAAAAATGTTAAAGACAGTAATAGAAGTGCTTTGGTAGAGAACGGGTGTGATCGCCACTCCTCGGGAGCAGAGTTTGAAGAGAGGCTTAATGTTAGTTTGACACACAGTGCAGGATCACCTGCTTGGCTATATGGGTTTTCCTAGTTCAGGGAGAGCGTTAGAAAGTGGAAGTGTAGCATACTGCCATCTCCAGTCAGATTGACATGAGGCTTCAGAAGGCCCCTTGTCATACCAGGTGTGTCCTGAATTCCCTAATTATCATAATCATTATAGCTTGTCAGAAAGAAGGAGCAGGCGCTGGAAAATCCTACTTCATAGGGCATGGGAGGTGTGTGTGCGCTTCCTTTTCTGCCATCACATCACTTCGCACTCACCCTCACTGTGACTGCTGTTACTTGGTTGGGTAGATTTTGAGGGGGCAGGAAAAAGATAAACCATTATGATAGCACCTTTATGCAGAAGACAACACTGAAATGAGTCTTCTGGCATTTGCAGATAAATATCTTCTATATTCCATTTTAATTGTTTATTTTTTGTACCTCTGACATTGCGCACAGTAAAATGGATTGAGTTCCTTTGTCTATATAAAATTAGGTAAATGAGATGTAGGTTTTTTTAATCTTAGCATTATTAAAGCTTCCTCTGGTTTCTTGATGTATTTCTAGACCACTTGTTTATGGTGACAAATATTATTGCCAACTTTCGATCACTTGCTACAGTGCTAGTTGAGTGGCGGGTAACGTACAGGGTAAGACCAATGTAGTTTCCCTCGTCCTCTCAAAGGCGTGGCCACGCTTCTGTGTCAGATATTATTTGTGGCATGCCAGTCTTTTATTGTGGTTAATGAAGGCTGGGAAGTGCGGGAAAGTTTGTAAATGCTGGAAAAGCATCCTTGCTGCATCAGGGAGACCAGTGCCATACAATGAGGTGATTAAATGAGGGCTTTTCCTGGTAGTCTCCGCCAGCTCACCATATCCTTTCCCCTTTTGGCCCGCTTCACACCTCTCGCTTGACTCCAGTACACAAAGGGCAAAATATGTCTGAGATGATCAGTCAGTATACCTGGGAATCTGACGTGTATTGCATGGTGGGCTGTTTCCTTACCCTGCCGTTGTACTGCTGGTGGCTGTAATAACCAGACCCGCTGAATAAGCAACGCTACCCACTGGCACTGACTTGCAAACAGAACTGCCTGGTGTAACATACAAGTGCGCCTGGTAACCAGTTCCTATGGTTTTCATTGTGTGCCAAGAGACAAGGTGAAGCGGGCTTTGCTACCTTCTGATCAGTGCCATTGATAATCATTTGCTCAGGGTGACGTTAATGTTTCTTGGGTCATGCAAGAGCCAGCCAAGTAATCCACCTGCCCTTGTCGCATGTTTTGTTGCAGAACGGTAGTAATGCCAATTGCCAATGAGTTTGCCCCAGATGTGGTGCTGGTCTCATCTGGTTTTGATGCAGTGGAAGGCCATCCTACGCCCCTTGGAGGATATAATCTGTCAGCAAAATGTAAGTAGTGGCCCCACAACAGGGAGCAGATAAACTCATTAGCTTCAGTGGAGCTGTTCCCATTTACAGTGGGGTTCTACCCCTTGCTCTTTATAGGTACATTTTTTCAGAAATCTTTGTACCTTTATATGGTATAGTAGTTATTTCAGGCCACATAAGAAATCATTGCTGTTGGTCTGTTGGAGCATCTTATTCTTATACAGGTTGACCCTCTCTAGTCTGGCACCCGAGGGACCTGACCGCTGCTGAGCCAGAGAATTTACTGGCCCATGGGAGGTCAATATTGTTTGGCAGCGTTACCAGCACTGCCACTGCTCGCTGGATTCTTAGAAGACATTGAGGGGTAAATTAGAGGAAACTAACAGCAAAGAACCCTGACAGCCAGGACTGGGGGCTGTAAGCAAACTTTATGGGACCGCGGGTAACTTGGCCACACCCATGTTAAGTGGACATCCAGCTAACTAAAATCCGGCTGGACCAGAGAATGCTGGACTAGAGAGGTTCAACCTGTAAAACACCATTCATACTCAATTCAAAAGTGTGAGGTTTTGCTCATGCAGAAATGAATAAAACAATGTTTAAAGTAAACAGAGTGTTTGTCCATTCTTTCCTCTGACTCTCTACAACACTTCAGTCTGATTTTACTCTCGAGCTTGTGAAAGGATTTATCCAAGTCAGATCTCATTCTTTTTCCTGTTTATTGACAGTGTGCTTTGCACAGAAGTGCAGCGCCAAATGCTTTCCCCGGTTACTCATGTAAATGTTCTCTCTCCAATGTAATTCAGCGAAAAACAAAACTTGACCTACAAAGTCTAAAAATCTGAAGGTGTTTTGCGGGTTTTGATGTCTATTAGAAAGGTGATTAAGATATGTTCTTAAGACTCCTTTTAAACTGTTCAGGGAGTAGAAATCATGGTTTGAATAAAAAGATGTAAGTGACATAGAGCTGAGAGTCAAGTTATTTAAAAGTCTCCACAAACACTTTGTAAATGGGGATAACTTGTTTGTCGTTTTGTTGAATCTCTATGATTTTATAGTGCCCTTGTTATAGTAAAAATACACAAAGTGGGATTGGTGCATAATTTGTTCAGTCCGTGTGTTTTATCCCAAGGCCGTTCATTAGTACGGCTAGTGAAGTTATCAAGGTGTTTGAGACTTAGTACGAAACAGAAAATAGAGAAGCCTGAAGAAGATTTTTTTTTAGATTCTGAAACTGTCATTTAATCCTTGAGGCTTGATTGGGGTTTTCTAAAATAGAATTAACTACAATGTGTGCCACAAGAGCAAAGCCCCGGTGCCCCAGAGGCTTTTACAGCCAGTTGTGTCTGTGTTGAGCGTTGGCTGTCAGATACCCGGGGGAAGTTGTACTCCCGTTTTTTCACAAATGAAAGCAAAAGCCACAGGTGGCTGGGTTTTGTCCTTCTGGGGAGTCTACAGTGTGTGATGTAACACAGGGATCAGATAGGATGAAAGTCACCTACTTCTTTGCTCTTCCTTCCTGCCCAAAGTGATGAGTTGCTACTATAATAATTCAAAGCATTAGAGCACTGGAGCAGATTCTGACCTCCAATAGGCAGGTGTAAATCTGCGTTTACTCCAGCAAAGTGTATGGCGGTAGTCCAGATTCTCACCAGGGTGAGATCAAAATCCGTCCCATAATGCAGACATGTAACCAGATCCAACGGAGAGCCATAGCTGAAATTCTGAAACAAATGTATTAAAATAAAACCTGGCTTATATTATGTGTTTAGTCCTCCCAGATCCCTTGTGGGTTTTTTTAATATGATGTAATTCCTTTTATAATTCTTTGATCCTTTGCCAAGAGTCTGATTCCTCTAGCAACCTTTGCCCTTTTCTTGCATTTCCTGTTTCCCTATTACAGGCTTTGGGTACCTGACGAAGCAGCTGATGGGATTGGCCGGAGGTCGAATTGTTCTGGCCCTCGAAGGAGGTCATGACCTGACAGCCATTTGTGATGCGTCTGAGGCATGTGTTTCTGCTTTGCTGGGAAACGAGGTATAAAGAAAACCAAAGGCACTGTGAATGGCTCTGTGTGGATACATGTAAGATGCTACAAGTTTAGCAGCTTTCTTGCAAAGTTGACGATTATAAAAGTGCATTTTGCTAGCATTGATTAGTGGGTTCCTAAACTTCTGAAACTTGGATCTTTGTTTTTAGTCCCTCCTTTAAAGGAACAAGCCCAGGTTAGAGAAAAGATACATTCTTTTTTTTTAAATAATAAAAAAAAAATCTTGCCCCATTATCAACACATTGGACAATAAGAATTGAATTAATTTTTCAAGAAAAATTGGTTTTGGAGGCTTGTTTGCGATTTGAATTTTCCTTGTCTTGGACAAGGACAACAGATGAGTCATCGGAATGAATGTGTGTCTGGTTGTCCTCCGGCCCCATCTCTCTCCTTGCTGACCCGCCCGGGAGGCCTGCATTGCGGCCGTTGTGGTGGTTGTGTTGATATTTCATTCCGTTTCACTTTTGGCTGCCCACGTTTTGCCAGCACACTGCAGCTGCTCTGCTAAAGTGCCTGGCCATATTGTGGAAGTTGTCTGCGGAAGGCTGGAGGGTTTGCCAGCTCAATTGGGGGCCATTTGCACTCTTGGGTCCTGTGGAAGCATGGAAAGCAGAGCTAATATTTGACATCCAGGAAGAGAGTTGCAACTTTTGGTATAGGCAGGCCCGTGGGTGGGGGGCAAAAGGAGCAGGTGCCTCGGCTGCCCTCACTCCTGCCCCTTCCGGGAGCACTCAGCCGCCCTCCCTCCATGCTGCCTAGAGGCCTGAGCAGGCTGTTGGCACCCATGAGATAGGGAAACCACTTTCCTTTCTCTTTTGGGCCAGGGTGGTAGGTGAAGGGAAGGAATCGAATGCCCTGTTCCCACCCCAGTACCCAGCGATGACAACCCGATTGCTCCCTGCCCCTGCATCCAGCAACAAGAACTAAGTATGTCAGTTGGCTGTAGGGATGTAAAATCCCATTTGGAAAGTTAACTGGTTCAACGTGAAGTTTAATCTGTTAACCGGGCTGCTGCAGGTGGGGGCCCAGCTGAGGTGGAGCAGCCCCCTTTACATCCCTAGTGGGATGTCTCTACCAAAACTCTCAGCAGTGAGCAGGTTGTGTCAACATTAGAATTGTCGTTAAGCTTTCTAGTCAACACTCGATAGAGCATAGCTTCAAATGCACAATTGTTGCACAACTCTAAGCAGTAAACTCCCTTGTGCAGCCACAAGGCAGTGAGCGCTGTTCCCTGCCCGGTGTGTACCTGGGGTGTATTTCTACACTGTCCCGGGCGGTTGTAAGTTGTACTTTTGGAATTAGTTAAAGTCTTTATGAACAACTTGCTTATTTCTTTGGACAGACCTTAGCCACTTTTTCTGGTGCGTTCGTCCCCTTTTGAACCGCCACGCGCCTCCTGGTGTACTGAATACATGGCCAGCCTCCAGCTAGCACAATGGTAGCTGCCCTGCGTGGACACACTGGAGAGGACTACACCTTTTTCCATTTAGAAAAATTGGGCTTAATTGCAGCAAGACACGAGTCAGGCCAGACTGGAGCCCTGGGAAGTATCGACTGTTGGCTCGGATGTCGTCATTGCAAAGGCTCCAAAGAGCCTTTCAAAACATACATGTGAAGAAAAGCAAGATCCCTTCTCTCCATTGCCTGGTCCCACACAGCTGAGCTCTGCAGCAGCATGTGAAAGCGATTAGATAGGGATTCAAACTGGAGTTGTGCTGTAAAGTGGGATATGATCACAGATCAAAGCAGCGTGCTGTGTGAATTATTTTGGGCTGCCTTTTCAATGAAAGGATCACTAGGCTTACTCTGCAGTGCATTGAAACACAAAGGTCTGTGTGTCGTTCTGTAGGGGAGATGCATTGCTAACTCCTGTGCCAGGGCTTGGCAGACCTGCTCACCTGTACTCAATAGCAGCATTCCTGGGGGACAGCCACCATCTTCCCAGAATGAGCTTTTAGGCCTTAGAATTGCATGGAGCATCTTACAGTTGCAGACAGATGACCTGAAGGCCTCTAGATCAGTGAGTCCTGAGCTATCCAGACAGACATCCCGAATTCAAGCAAACTTTGATAGATCTGGATGCTCCATGGGGAGAGAAGGAAGCAACCAAGGCTGCCTCTTGTGGGATAATATGGAGAGGAGCCCATCTAAAGACCACTTCCTCGCCTTCCCCAGAGAAGGACTCTGCTCACCAGGGGAAGGAGGAAGAGGGGTTGGTCCCTCAGGGGCCTTTGCCTTCCTTGGAGGAAGAGAGCATTTTCTTTTGTCACCCTTTCTTGCTGAGGAAGCTACGGAGGCAGGAGGTGGAAGACCAAAAGCCCCCGGAAGAGCCTGATGCAGGAACACCTGGGTACTTTCTGAATTTAGAGCCATGTAGGTTGAGCCATGCCTGTGCAACTGGCATTGAACCATAAACAGATGGTAAACCTTGGTGTGGCGCTGCAGTAGAATGACAAAGAAGCGGTGTTGCTCTGCTCTTAGCAGTCTGTGCTCTGGGGTTGGATCTCGCATAGATGTGAGGGCCACCCCATCTGAGAAACAACTGTTCACGCCTGCTCTGTACTTGTGGATTCCAAACCGCTGAAGGCATTTCTGCAGGGAGGATGGTGATTCTGGAGAAAATCTCACTAATAAAATGCAGTAGGCCTTGGTGGGAATAGTTAGGCCATCAGTAATGCCTGTTCTGATTCTCTATTTCCCCTTCAAAGGCCACTGGTTTGTCGAGCTTTGACCTGACAGATTGTCACACCTCAGTGGGGGTGACTGACCCAACCGACTGTCCTTTGTGTCCCTCGTAATTGAGAGCCAGCCACATGGGCATCCCACCCAAATGAGGGGTGATGCTTGTCAGAGCCCCCCATGCGCTTGTCCTACCGACTCGCAAACCCCGCCTCATCAGAGGGGATTTCCTTGGCTTCATCCAAACCTTGGATCAAAACTGCTATTCTGCAGCCTCCCACCTTTGCAGAACCACTTAAAGCTCTGCGAAGGCCTTATTCTCAGTGGTAAATTGGGTTGGCATCTTTCAGAACAAACCTCTCTTTTGAGTACCAAGATGTCACTGACCTCTACTATGTCTTACCAATGATCAGTTGGCTAAATCAAAAGGCTTCGTGTGTTCAGACCGCTGAAAGAAGAATGTTCAATTTGTTTTGGGGGGTTTTGTAATTACATCAGCGTAAAAATAAGGAGTTAGAAGCTTTTAAGAACAGACCTGTTCATGGTTTTGATAAGTGGGTTACAGACTGTGCGGATACCAGGGCAATGTTCTTTTACTTACACACATCAAAAAGCAGGAAGCCCTGGTTTTATCAAGGTCTTTTATAAAATCTTTTTAATGCAAGGAAGTTGGAGTGAGCCACCGTTGCTGTATCCTGCGGGCCCTTTGATGAAGTTTGATCTACAGTGTGTTAGACAATTTTGCATGCATGCACGTGGATAGCCAGCTGTGGAGAGCAACAGGCTGCAGGGGAAATTTGCTAACTTAAGATATGATTAAATTAAATGGCGAAACCGAAGGAAATGAAGGAGGGAAGTGCAGGCCCCACAAGCTGAAATTGTAGTCACCAGCTGAAATTTAAATTTTCGGGAGCCATGTATGAGGTTGCAAAGTGTGGCGCACAGAGGTTAAAATAGAGCTGCCATCGCACGCAACGTCCACCTCAGTGCCTTGATGGAAAATGATGTAGCAGGCTCAAGACTTTTTACTACATTTTAGTTACCTTTTGAGTGACTTTGTTCAAAGCTGCTACAAGTAACTTGACATTCCTTGGGGTTCTGGGTTGAGCCCCTGAAACAGTCATTGGTGGCAAACCTTGGCCTGGGAGCTGAGCCGCTTGTCAGGCCATTTAGCACTTAATGTGAATGAAAGGCTAATCTGCTGTATATTTGAGAGAGCTTGGGCAGGAGGGGGGAGGGCTGTTCAAGAACAAACAAGGGGCAGATGAACCTGGATCTGCCCCAGCCTAGCGACACGCGCCCCCTCCCCCAGCTGTGTCCGTTGGAGCACCGCAGCCATGGAGAGGTGCTTCTCACCTGACCTCAGGCTGCTGCGGTGAGAGACGGTTGGGGCTGTCCTCTCTCTCTGGGACAGCCTGCTACTGAACCCTCCTCCCGGCCCCACCCCACAGCAATGATTTACCTGGAGCAGGGACATTTTCATTGTATTGGCCAAACAACAAACGTGAATCAAGTTGAGGAGCGAGCAGCGCCGGGGTCAATCTTCTAGGAACATAGCCCAGCCATGGCCAACCCTTGCCCTCCAAAAGTGCAGCTCGCGAAGCCGCTCCTGTGCCCTCCCCAAATGGTCCCCCCATGGCTTCCCTGTGCTTACTGGGTCAGATCTGGGTCAGATTTTAAAAATGGTGCCCAAGATGGTGGCCGTCTTAAAGGGGCAGCCTCCTTTTTAAAACATTTTTATTTAATTTTTTTGTTTGTTTTTTGCTTGACAATTCTGGTGCAACTCTTTGCATTTTTTCCGACGCTGTTTTGGCTCTTTGTTAAATGAGTTGGCCACCCCGATGTAGCCCATGCCCTGTCTGCTGACTGTGACTGATTCCAGGTGCCCCAAAGGGAGTGAACAGAAACAGGGAACCATTATGTGGTCCCTCCCCCGTTGCCCACTTCCAGCTGCCAACAAACAGGCTGTGTGACAGTAGTAGCTGAAATGCCTTGGTTAAAAGGGAACGGATGCCAGTATTTCTCTGATCCTGAACAGACTAATCCAGTGTAAAGGCTCAGCAAAACGTTTTGCCCTTGTCAATGTCTGGGGCCGTTGACCCCAAATGAGATTTGTGTTGGTGCTGCCTCTCGCTCACTCTCTGGCTAAACCAGCACTTGGACAGAAGGCCATTTGTTCTTGACTTGTGCGCATGGAGGAGGAGGGGGTTTTACATTCTGTGGCTCAAATAGCCACAGCCTAGTTCTCTACGTCTTCCAACGCCCAGCCTGATCCTGCGAAAACATCAGGGAAGAGACGACTGCTTCACCCGGTTCTCTCGTTAAAATTGCTGATTGATTGCTGCAGGATGAGAAGGGGATTTGGAAAGAATTTTTAATTGTGCTATTTATCAGGACCCAATGGGATGATGGCGCCCTTTGCTGTAGAATGCAGTGTGTTGTGGAGCTGTCTAGGACCCCGTCACATTGAGATGCAGCGCCTAAAGATGTATTGCTGTCTTCACTCTGCCGGCTCCCTTCCCACACCGCTCCTCCTGCCCAGCGTTGGAGTGAAATAGCGTGGCTTTCCTGTGTCCACAGATTCATGGCATGCTTCTCATTGGAAAGCCTGGAATTCCTTTACAGTGAGCAGTTTGGGCCTCCTTTCTATCTGACAGGGAAAATCTCTTCCAGAAAACCAGGACTGGGCCAAATCTGAGGAGGTTCAACAAGGACAAGTGCACGGTCCTGCCCTTGGGACGGAAGAATCCCAAGCATTGTTACAGGCTGGGGGCTGACTGGCTAAGTAGCAGTTCTGCAGAAAAGGACCTGGGGGTTACAGGGATTGGGAAGCTGGAGATGAGTCAACAGGGTGCTCCTGTAGCCAAGAAGTCCAATGGAATATTAAGTTGCATTAAAAGGAGCATTGCCAGCAGATCTAGAGAAGTGATTCTTCTTCTGTAATCGGCTCCAGTGAGGCCACCCCTGGAGTGTTGTGTCCAGTTCTGGGCCCCCCACTGTAGAAAGGATGTGGACGCGTTAGAGAGGGTCCAGGGGAGGGCGACCAAAATGATTCAGGGGCTGGAGCACATGACTTACGAGGAGAGGCCAAGGGATTTGGGCTTGTTTAGTCTTCAGAGGAGAAGAGTGAGGGGGAATTTGATAGCAGCCTTCAACTTCCTGAAGGGAGGTTCCAAAGAGGATGGAGAAAGGCTGTTCTCAGTACTGACGGATGGCAGAACAAGGAGCAATGGTCTCAAGTTACAGTGGAGGAGGTCTAGGGGGTGGGGAAGCACTGGGCCGGGTTCCCTAGAGAGGGGGTGGAATCTCCTTCCCTAGAGGTGTGTAAGTCTTGGCTTGACAAAGCCCTGGCTGGAATGATTGAGTAGGGGTTGGTCCTGCTTTGGGAAGGGGGCTGGACTCGATGACTCCTGAGGTCTCTGCCTGCCCTGGGATTCTATCATTCTAGAAGGAAATGTAATCAAGGAGGAGTTGAGGGCATTTTTTCCCATGCTCCCTGTTTGATACCTACTAATGACTTGTTTTATCACTAGGGTTGGGTGGTATGGGTACGGATCAGAGCAGAGACAAGCACTTCATGTCCTGTCTGCATTTAGAATGCAAGAGAACTTGAGCCTTGAAAGAAATGCTTTTGTGCACATCATCTACATTTAAATCTAGGAACGTTTTAAAAGTGTCTAGATCCCATTTCTACTTGCAGTTTCAGTTCCGTCACATTATCCTCATTAGTGGAGGAAGGCGGGGAAAGAAACCAGCATCACAGGGAATAAGGTTCATAGCACAGTTCTCTCCACACAGTAACTTCAGCACAAATTTCGTAAAGATTAACATATGGATTTAATGCCTCTCTGCCCTGGTAAGATTGACCTAGCAGATGGTAAGAGCTACAAAGAACTTTGGCTTTGTACTTAACTCTCAACTCAACAAAACCTTAGAGCAGGGTTTCAGTTCCTTTGTAATGGATGAAAAGATGTGTTTGTCCTAACACAAATCATGGCATGTATTCATAGGGCACACTTAACTTTTGGGAAAGTTACAAGTAAATACATCCATTGGGCTAGGTGTTCAAAGGCATTTAAAAGTAACTCTTTTGGGTGGTACCATAACTTTTTTTTTTCAGCACCTTTTAACTTAGCCACAGCTTTTTTTTAAACACTTCACACTTTACATGGAAATAGATCTACATAGTATCTTACATATTGTGTGTTCAGAAAAAGTAGCGGTTATCAGCTTTCTGCCTTAATATTTCTCTGCACCACAATGACTGACCAATGAAATGTTTGTTGACAAATGAAAGCTGGGGAAGGCAGCAGGACCCGGTCCTGCCTCGCTCCACCAGAGCAGTGTAGCTATTATAAAAGTGCTTGTGACTGTCAAAGGTCAGGCACCCTTTCCAGCTGCACCTGTTCTAAGATCCTTCAAAACAGGGCTCCTGTCCTGCCCTAGTCCTGAACTGCACTCTAATGGGGCTCTTGTCCTGTGGACTTTAAGGCATGTGGCTATTCACGTTCCATGACCGGCAGCATCCCTCGGCCACAGAGAGGCGCATGGTGATGGGGAAGTATTGGGGCAGTATTTTGGAAGAAGTAGAAAGAGCTGTGTCTGTGAGAAGGTTAGAAAATTGGCTGGGAGGTAGGAGGCACTCAGGTTTGGATTGGAGCTGGTAACATTTGTATATATTCTGCACATAGTCTTCTGTGGGAGCTTATAGCAGGATCGTGTCTTTGTAAACCCTTCTCCAGAGTCTCAACTTTCCAAAAAGTATGACTAAAAGTTCTTGACTCTGAACAATTGAAATCCCCGAGTTTCCTGTTCAACTTCCAGTCGTTTGTCGTACTTCTGTGCACACGCTGGCAAAACTGAAATATACGACGAGAAGACTTTTTAGTAAGTTTTCATACTCAGAATTTGAAGTAGGATCCAGTCATGGGAATCCAAGGAGGGGGTGGGGTGCTCAGGACAGATTGCAGTATTGAAGAACTCCTGGCTACAGAATATATGCAGGAGTAGCCATTTACAAATTCTTTTTGGTTTCATTTTTTTTTTCAGCTTGATCCTCTTCCGGAAAAAGTTTTGCAGCAGCGAGCAAATGCTAATGCAGTGCATTCCATGGAAAAAGTAATTGAGATACACAGTGAGTATATGCAAGCTGGGCTCGGATTATTCTCCTCTGAGCCATCCTCAGGCAATTCTGTTTTGACACCTCCATCCTAACAATTAAAGCTAAATTAAAAATTCTGCCGAGGTTTGCTAGAGTTACTCCTGCTGGTGGGCACTGTACAGTAAACCTGCCCTGTGCAGCTGCAAGATGCTAGAGGGGCAGAAGTGTCTCCTAGCGTAAAAGTACGTCTGCACAGCCCCCAGCACAGGCCTGTAGACGCGGACCCACGCTAGTGCTTTGAAAAGAGCTGTGTAGCCATTGTGATGTAGGCTCTGAAATGTCCATCCCCCGGGATGCTTGAGATGCCCCACAAAGGCGCTGTCTTCACAACGTTTTAGCAGGCTAGCCCTTGCTGGCCCAGGCTGTGTAGATGTATCCGAGTGCTCAGCCGCAAGGTCAGGCGTGTTTCTTGTTGGGTTTCCTTTCTCTCTCTCCTTTTTACACCAACTGTAAACCCCCGATGCATTTCTCTTAGCGCTCTTACACACACTGGCAAGTAGCTGCTGTTGGTGAAGGGCTGAGGTCGAGGTCATTTGCTAAAGGGATGACGCGCAGGTTAAATATCAGACTTCCTTGTGCTGTGTGATGGGATGCATCAGCAGTGCTTCTGTGCAGCCTGGTGGCTAATAAAGGAGCTGCGTTGGGAATTGCTGCAGCTCTAAGAACATTGATCATCATTCCCATCACCACATCAGCCATTGGGGCAGCATATCTGACGAGTGGTTAGCCAGTTGTCTCCATCCCTGACGATTTGATGCCAGGACTTGTCTCCGCAAAGTCCATTCCTGTCCACTTGTGGAAGGAGGTGAGCGCAGTGTTGGGTACAAGTGCTGGCGTGGTAGGCTTGCCTGTGCTTCTAAAACTCAAATGCTGCCATGGCAGCATGGAGCACTTGGAGCTTTTCTCGTAAGGTGGTTGGCTGCTTGTAGCTTCAAGCAAGACTGGGCCCCCAGTATGCCAAACACCCACAGAAGCATCTGTCCATGTCCCACAGAACGTATGCTCTAAATAGACAAAACACATCGGAAACACAAAGCGTTGTCCCCATTTTACAGGGAGCGCACCAAGGACCTGAGAAATTAAGGGCAACATTTTCAGAAGTGAATAAGTGACTTAGGAGCTTATGTCTCATTGGAAGTTAATTAGACTTTGGCTCCCAAGTACCTAAGTCACTTCTGAAAATGGAAGTTAGGCACCTAAATCATTTGGGTGATTTTGAAAATGAGTCTTGCCCAAGGTCCCACAGGCAGTCAGTGGCAGAGTCAGCAGTTGAACTCCTTTCTCCAGTTCAGTGTCTAAACCGCAGAACGAGCCTTCCTTTTCCCATCTGTGTCCTTAACTCTAAGGGTCTGAGGATTGTTGAGTCCCATTGTACCTGCTGCTGCTTCCTTACCTAAATCTAGGTCAGGTGTCAGTAGATGTTGCAGACTTGTCCACGGCCAGGAATTATAAGATTCCCAAACAGCTCTGAGGCCTCAGGTGAGGATAAGCAGCAGAAGCAGGTGGTCTCTCCATATAGGGTCTTCCATCGGTCTCTAGCCATTCAGAGCGGAAGAGCAGCTCTATTCGCCATCGGAGATTCAGTGCTGGGCTGGATCCAGAGTGCGCTTGGAAGGGAGCTGGCCATGCCTGGTCAACAGTCTCCAGCAGTGCTGCGCAGAAGTTTGTTTTCCCACCTTGCTTCTAGCACTGACTGGTCCTAGGATCGAGAGTCGTTGGCAGACAGCAGCTCTGACTCCAGCCTCTGCTGGCCTGTCAGCCTCCCCAGGCCACTTTCATTGGAAATGCACCTGAGTGTCTGAAGGAGACAAGCTGGGGGGAAATCCTGACCCCTCGCCCCTGCCAGAATCCCCACTGATTCCAGTGGCACCAAGTTTTGACTCCTCTCATTTCCAAACAGCCTCCTTAAAAGGACGTTGCATTGTGCAGGGCCCAGATGTAAAGTCCAGACATACTGGAAAAACTGTTGGCTCTAAACACTTGAAATGTCTTCGCAAACAAACTTGTGCTAATTAGCTGCTGGTTTACATAGGGAAGGCAAACACCGATTTCGAAGCAGATCTGTATTATGACAGCACCGCTGTGGTAACATATGTGAGCACAGCAGCGTGACACTCGGGCCAGATACTCAGCGGGTAGCTGCTGCTGCATTCTAAGGAGCCAGGCTGCTTGCTTATCATGGTGAATCAATCACCATCGCCATGTCGTGTGTAAACTGGCTTTTCTGCATGGAGCGCTGATCTGCTTCTCGCCCTGGGAGGCCGTGGCTCCCACTGCTTGGCCAGCATTGTCATGTACCAGCTTCCTTTCCACTGCTCTCGACCCTGAACTGGTCCCAGTGCCGATTTTGAAGCGATGCCTGCATGTACCCAGAGCTGCAGAAGTACTTGGGCATTTCCCCCCCCTCACTGCGTTGAGCCATGGAAGTAAATGCCGTGGCACTGGCAAATGAAGGAATGCGCTACAAGCGCTGATGAACCGTTCCTCTTTGAACCAGCACCTCTCCCTCTGAGACACTGGGGCTGCATCTCTCTGCAGGCCAATTCCATGGGTCAGAGGATGCTTTGCCCCACCTCTTCCACCTGGACAGAGGTTTCTCTGGTGCGGGCCACAGGGTGCAGCCACAGCTGTCAGTCAGTGCCTCCCTGTGACCCCCTTCCCCAGCCCTGGGGGCCTAGGTGGGCGGGATCTAGCTGCGGTGGATATAGGAGAATGGTCTGGTTAGCCATTAGCACAGAGGAGGGACCAATTGGGAAGTAACCAATCAGAACTTTTTTTGAGCTGCAGCATCCGCTCAAAGAAACCCAGACTTTGCCCATTAGAAAAATCCGCCAGACAGAGGCTGAAAAGAGGGGCAATGTCTGGGCATATGGTAACCCTGGCTCCCAGCTGCAGCATCCATACAAATACTTTATCCAGCTGTATTTCCTGTGCCCTGCAAGATGCATAGTGGATGTCTGTGCCAGCTAAATCCCAGCTCTCCATCGGCCCCAGAGAGGGGATTGCACAGGTGGGGTTGTGTGGAATTGGTGGGGGATGCGAGAGAGCATTTCAGCAGTGCTCAGGGTTGGCTTTGAAAAACCAGTGTGCGTTTTAGCAGAGGCTTCAGCGGGAGCTCAGGCCACTGCCGAGTGCTTTGAAAATCTCTCCCGTGATGTTTACGTATCCGGCTCAATCACATTAAAGGTCATGGTGACGCTAAAAGCACCGAGCCCTGAGGATGTTCGCTTGTCATCGTAACGCCGAGGGAGGGATGCTTTGTGGGGCTGGCTAACCAGGGGCCTCAGGTAGCAGGGTCAGAGCTAGAGGCAACCTGCCCTCGGCCCCACCTGGACCATGCTGCACCTCTTCCATCCAGCTCGCCGCACCGCCCAAGGCTCTGGTGGTGATTTAAAAGGCCATGGCTCCAGTCACTGCAGCTCCCACAATAATGGCGGTGGCCCGGTGCCCTGGGCAACTGCCCCCTTTGCCCTCCACCATTGGCAGCCTTGGCCTAAATCTATGTTCATGTCTCGCGTAGGCAAGTACTGGCATTCACTCCAACGCTATGCCTCCACCGTGGGCTACTCCTTGGTCGAGGCCCAGAAGTGTGAGACGGAAGAAGCAGAAACGGTCACAGCCATGGCGTCGCTGTCAGTGGGGGTGAAGCCAGCTGATAAGAGGTGAGTCCCCGTCACTCGCAACTCTCTTGCTCCCCTCAGAGATGGGAGCCGGTAGCAGCGTGTGGAACCATCTGGTTGATGCAGTGCCTAGTCTGACTTACTCTTTGTCATTTCCTATTAATTGGACACATGCCCAGTGTCGACAGGGTAATTATTTCTGCAGTAAGTGGCTCCTGCTCCTCTGTTTTATTATACCCTCTCAGCTACGTCTTGAATCTTAATATATTAGACACACCGGCTCCACCAGTCCAAAGCAGGCAAGCACAGTCGTTCCTCAAGACGAGAAGGGTGTCGGTTCTTGAGTGTAACGATCTTGAGCGTTAGAAAACATGCCGAAACACTGCCCTTTCCACATGTGGCAACTCCAAAAAGCTTAAAATACAATGTCATTCGGAACAGGGGGGGTGAGTGGAACTCACCTGGGTTTGTAGGGGAGGGTGTGCAAAGTGGGCATTGGTGAGTATGGCGGGGGGGGAAACACGCATTAGTGCAGAAGAGAAAGTGTAACACGTTGGTACCCAGCACCCTGCGAGTTTCTCATCCTTGTCGTGCCCCCACCCTTTCTTCTTTTTCTCTGCCCCTCCTCTGTCATCCCCCTGGGTGAAATTGTTTACAGATCAGATGATGAGCCCATGGAAGAGGAGCCTCCCCTGTAGCGTTGACCTTGGAGCTGGAGTTCTCCTGTTTGTTCGTCTTTGTCTTGAAGCTCTACCAAGAAGCTTTCTCTTGTTACTCCTGCGTCCTGTTGTGGTCTTCTTACAGAATACAGAAGGGGCAGCCAGGCGTAAAACACAGCAACCGAAAAAAATCTCTCCGTGGATATCCACGAATACAGTATAGACAGAAATGGAAAAATGCCGGTGAAGAGCAGCGGCGTTGAAGACACACATAAATGCCGGGCACTCTTCCTCTGGTCCTCAATGGAAGCCATATGGGGAACGAAGCCCATGAATGTCTCCGGCAAAGTTGTCAGGTTTTTTTTTTAAAAATAAATAAGATTCAACAACATGAAAAATAAACTTCATTGAAAACTGGTGCTTAAAGTTTGATTATCCAAAATTCAGCAATCTCCGTTTGAACCACTCAACCCATCTTGTAGTTTCGTTCCTTGGATTTTTTTTTTTAAATGGCTCTTGCCTACTTGTGAGTCAGACATTCTCATCAAAACCAGAACAATGTGAGATGGTGTATTTTTAATGGGAAGGGCAGGGGAAAGAGGACTA